CATGGAGCCGTGGAGCTGTGGCTGTCCCGAGGAGAAGTACAGGGACGAAAATTTCTTTGTTCTCTCTTGGTTACAGCCTCGAGCACCTGGCACAAACAGGAACTTTAAGCCTCGAAAGAGAATAGCAAAAAGCAAGAGAGTGAAAAACCTTGATTCTAGTCGTGGTTCCAGCCTCAAGAACCTGGAACAAATAGGGGCTTGAGAGTCTCGAAAAAAGACTGTCATTTTTCCGGCGCATGGCCATTGACAACGGTTTCCTGAGCTTTTCAATCGGTAGCAGCTTCAGATCTTCACGTACAGCTGACTGTAGCTCTGAGGTGCTCTGCAATGAAGACCGCATCAAACTCACACACACACAGAGGCACAGAGAGAGAGAGAGAGAGAGAGAGAGAGAGAGTACCTTCCCACAAGCGATGATCAACGCTCTCTCCTCGTGCTCACGTGCCCTAAAAGACAATTAAAAGTTTTTATGATCCCAAAAGTCACGACTCCCCATTGTTTAATCTCAGCCGTTAGATTTTGGCATATGCCCAGAATAAGTGACGCCAGCATATGCTATTATTATACCGGCTCTTTCGTTTAAATATATGAGTACTAGCAGAGACCCCAGCTCCGCTGGGAGATATAACATACCCAAGATAAATAGATCTTCTTTTCTAATTTTAGAATGTTAGAAATTTTTTATTGTATACAGTGTTGAGATAAACATCTCTAGAGTAATACTTTGCTCTAATAATGCAATTAGATAATAATGCATGTGTTAAGGAAGATAAAATCATTTATTTATCATCATGAAATTTAAATTTGAGTTTTTTTTATTGCCTTTTCAAAAAGGTGCACAACCCTAAACACATCCACAAGATTGCTGCCAACCTTTAAAAAAAATTGATTTTTCACAAAATCAAAGAATTATACCAAAGAATAATAGGTTTTATAACTGGTTTGGTGAAGTTATAAATTTAATTGTGTACTGCATTAGCATCTTTATTATCTGAATTGTAATGATGCCATTAACATTCATAGTTTACTAAAGAATAATAGAATTTCTGTTGTGTATCTCATTTTGCATTTAAAAACATACATAAGCAAATTTATCCAGATTGCTACCACATCAATATTAAACCTCATAAACCAGCAATAGAGAATAGTTCTAGACAGATTGAAAAATTATAAATTGACCAAATCTAAGAAATGTGGAATAGTTCCTTGCAACATAAGAGATAGTAAGATAATGTAATATCTCTAAAAATGTTTTACTTATGCAATACTCTAAAAGTAATATTCAAAATATAGTTATATGGTGAGTGAGACCACCAAATTCTTTATACATTTTATATACATGAAAGAAAAACTGTCCTTTATTAGCTATTACTTATGCCAAAAGTTTTGTTTTATTTGGGTATTTATGAAGGATCTAAAATGCTGCTGGTGCTTCTTTTTTACCCTTTTCCTAGTGTATTGACAGGTTGTTATTCTTATATAATAGATAAATAATCTTAAAGGTTAATTTTGCCAATGTAGAAATAATACTGCACAATGACAAATCCTGAAAGATGAGGAAAGATAAAGTAAAATATCAAAGTTCTAGTTTACCATCCACCTGGAGATATAAAAAATATTTTAAGAAAATCTCACATAAAAGAAACTTTCTAGATCTTATTAAACTAATATTCTCTTTCATCTCCTTTTTTTAATATCATGAAATACTTAGATTTTAGAAATCATAAAAATAGAAATTATAAAAGTTAGTTCTAACATATTACAATAAATATATATAATATAAAAATATCTAAAGATATATCATAAATAAAATATTATAATTTTTCAACATATAATCTAAATATAAAATCTATTTCAGAAAGAAAATTAGAAAAAACTCATAAACAGCCTGCATTTAACCTTATAAACAATAAAAATGTCTAACATTGTAAAATTCGAAAAGCAGATCTATTTATCTTGGGTATGTTATATCTCCTAGTGGAGCTAGGGTTCTACTATAATAGTACTACACGATAGGAATAAAGTGGGTAGATACAGAACAAAAACAAGTGCCCACACCTAGACATATTCCATAGCAAGGGAAAAAGCTATTTTGATTCACTAAGATCAAGATACAGTTTAGTATAGTACTTTTTTCTATTATAAGTACAGAATTTTTGAAACTCTTACAGATTTGAAAACTTATGGCCTCTGTTGTGGCAAGAAACTGTGCTGTTGGGATCCAAGGCAGTCTGCCTATAAACACCAGATAAAGTAATAATAGCACAAATTATAAATACTAACCTGTAGCCAGCAATGAAGTAATGGACGACAATGAAGATTTGAAATTGGCAAGCTCATTGGACCCATATCTCATTACCCATTGTACATTTAGCATTGACCATTGAGCATCATAGACCAAAAGAAGAAAGACAAGAAGAAAAAGAAGGGCAAGAACATCATGAAGAAGAAGAAAAAGCAAAAGCTTAACAAACAGAACAAAGTGAAAGCTTGGAAATGGAATAGAAAATGTGGCCTACAGACATATATTCTTTCAGAACCTTTCTTAGTTGGTTGAATTTTCCTATTTCTTGTGCATAGCTTGAACTTCGTCAAATTATGAGCACTAGCTTCCCTGTATTTGGACCATGTCAATGGATTTCTTAAGGATGGAAACGCTCATCAGAGGCAGCAGACACAGTTTATGGCCTATTTCATCACGGAATGATTCTCATCTTCGGATCATCAATCACTGCCAAGAAAATTCAAGGAGGAAGAAGACATGCCAAGCTGCACTACCCAAGGATGGGGAAGTTGGAGAGGGAACATTTTGGTTTTGCTTCTACTGTCTCTGAGCTTGGGTGTTTTGGCTCATGATGAGAGTGGAAGACACAAGAATGGCTACCACAGTTACTTGAGATCCTGTACTCAAGCCAAGAGGATCATCAGGGACACCCTGAGCAAGCACACCGATTGGGACAGGACGATACCAGCAGGAGTTCTTCACTTGCACTTCCATGACTGTTTAGTTGACAGGAGTAGCTTTGCAAAATTTTAATTCTGGTATGCTAACTTTACTGTTCTTCAGGGCTGTGATGGATCGGTCGTTCTTAGCTCACCTCCCACTGATGGAAGCAAAGTGTAAAAATTGTCCCTTCCAAGCTTCATGTCCACCAAGAGCTTCATTTTTTTAATCCCCACTCTAGCCATAGCTGCCAGAGATTCAACCAGTCATGGTA